CCTCCTACCGCCTCTGCCCTCCCTCATCCCAACCCTGCCCCCCACCTTAGGTCTTGATCCCTGATTGTTCAGCACCTTGGGATGTCTTCCTGATGTGAAAGGCGCTTTACAAATGTAATTTTGTTGTTGTTGTAATCAATTTAAAATTCATGGCCAAACGATTTGCATGTATTTTGTATACAAAGGTGTGGATGTATTTTGAGACGACTCAGAGGATATTAAGTTTCAGAGTGACAGCTTTCTAAGCACGTAATGATGGATGGACTTTCATTACACTTGAAATAAAAAATTAAGAGAGCCCCATAAAATATTTACAACACTCTGATGATTATTTCAAGAACTAAGATGTAAATGGAATCAAGTGCATGATAGAAAAGCTTGTGGGAACTGTACAAAGTTATAACAAAAACAAAATTGATAAACTAATGGGTGAAATTACTCTCACTGTTCAGCATAGCAATTGTGGGTTTGCGTTTCTCAGTATTTCGTATTGAGATTCAATATTTTAAAGTTTCCATCCTAGATTCAGTTTATCACCAATAGTCATAACCAGATTCATTACGTCAATTGTAGCTTCCAGTTCACAAACATCATGAGGTGTTTATGAGATTTGTGAAATAGCTACATTAATTTTGGTTCCCAATTATCGTTTGTTAGACCCTAACATTGGTACTGAAAGTGTAAATATTGGCTCCTTAATTCTGTACTAGCTTCACTTCTCTTGCTTGTCCTTTTTTCTCTTTCAACCAATCTTTCAATTTAATCTATTTCTCTCTCTTTGTTACTGTTTACTTACTTGACGTTTTGTTATATTTTTGTGGGTCATTTTAAATGGCTTTTGCATTTCTTAACATGGATATTGAGCAATATACAAGGATTGGTATGTATTCCATTCAAGGTCTAATTCAAGAATGTAATGATGTGGATCATGAGTTTATGAAACTGTATGTGAACAGATTAAATATCCATTTTAACTTATGAAAAGAAAACTTAGTGTGTGCTTTAAAATGTGTGCTATTAAATATAAATATTTAAACTGTATAAACTACAATAGTTTAAATATTTATAAATCAACCAGCAAAGAATTAAGAGCAACGTTGGGGATCGTAACTACAGTGAAACTTTGAATAAAGTGTAATATTGTGTGTGGAGCTGGTTATCCTGTTCTTTCCTTTTGAAGGTAAATTAATTGAGCTCTGGCTGTGAGTGCATCTTATTCTCCACTGGTCATTACATCATTCCGAATCGACTTCACTCACATCTCTCCCTCCACTCCCTACTCAAACCCCTCCAGTCCAGTGTCCATCCTGCCCACAGCACAGAGACAGTGCTTGTCATTTTAACAAAATGATGTACTCTCTCTTTGTGACTAGGGCTCTCTCTGCCTCCTCGTCCTCCTGGACCTTTCCGCCATGTTCAACAAGGTCGATTAAGCCATCCTCCTCTAACACCTCTCCTCCCTCATCCACCTCGGATTTTCCTCCCGCCCCCGTCCGGGCATCTGCGGAGTACTCCAAGGCTCCATCCTTGGCCCTCTTCTTTTCCTTATCTGCATGCTCCCTTCGTCAATGTCATCCGCACACATGGGTCAACTTCCACATGTTTGTAGATGGCACCCAAATCTACTTCTCCCCCTCCAGCTACGGCTCCCAGTCTGCTGATGTCCTGACACCTTGTCTGATAGACATTAAAGCATGGATGAGCGCAGATTTCCTGCAGCTGAATGTCGGCAAGATGGAAGCCATACTCTTTAGCTCCCGTTAATGTCTTCCCTTCTGCGGGTCTAAACTCCTGAACCACCCTGGCCTCTCCCTCAGACTCACTGAACCCATGTGCAATTTAGGTATCAGGTTCGATCCCCAGCTTTCCTTTCTACCCCCATCCATTCTCTGACCAGGACTGCTTTTTTCCACCTCTGTCACATTGGCCGCCTCCGTCCATGCCTCACAACCAAAGCAGCTAAACCCCTCGTCCACGCCTTCATCACTTCCCAGCTGGACTATTCCAATGCCCTCCTCATTGGGCTCACCAACTTCACCATATACAAATTCAACTAATTCAAAACTCCGCTGGCCAGATACTAACTTGCACAATACTCTGTATCCCCATCACACCAGTCCTTGTCAGGCTCCACTGGCTCCCAATTACCGAATGGATCGATTTCAAGATCCTGTCACTCGTTTTCAAATTCCTTCATGCTCTTGCATCTCCCTACCTATCCAATTTGCTTACCTCCCACTTTCAAATCCCGACTAAAGACCTTCCTTTTGGATCGTGCTTATGGTCACTTCCCTTCTCCCTCTGCCCCTGGCTCGGTGTCAGATTCCGCCACTCCCTGCATAAAGGGTGCTATATAAATGCAAGTTGTTGTTGTTGCTGCCTTATAATGAGATTATACCATTATAAACACACAGCGCCAAGGTCAGTAAATATACTGACAAATGGAGAATTGCTCCCTTTGAATTGCTTCACAATAGCTTCAGAGGCATTAATTGTCTCTTGCCCAAAGTACTCGTGGTATGTTTACTTCGCACATTATAAGTGGACATCACTGAACGTCAGTACTTTAAGTCCCAAAAGGAGAATAACCCTCATGATTTACATACCTGACTGCTTTGAACCAATTCACTTCCACCAAACAAAGTAATCGCCACAAAGGTGTTATTTTAACAGGGGAAAGCTTGCTCTCAGGACCCTCTTATAAGATATCAATAGAAAAGAAATCTGATTAATGCAAGCTCCTATTCACTTCCAATGATACTTGAATCTACATTTGTTCTGAACAGTGAGATGAGATTAGAGCTGGCATGACAGAGATATTTAAAACTGATGATATGAGGGAATTGTATCAATATTTTTTAGCAATAGACTGCCTAATCAATAAGGGCACCAATAAGGAAAAGGTCATTTAGCTCATCAAGCCTGTTCCACCAGGTTATATCTCTACATCTTTTTCAATCCCAGTATATCGCCCTCTCATTATACAGTAATTATTAGATTTGTTTGCACTACTGTATTAATCATCTCCTATTTCGTAATCCCGCACTCCTATTCTCCATTACTCCCGCAGTTTCTAGCCTCCATGAATCGCAGGAAATGATGTCCCGACCCGTCGATGAATACACACTTACCGACCAGCTGCATTAAATTGTAGGAAACGTAGTCTTTGTCTGTTGAAGCATCGAGGAAGAACTTGATTTCCGCGATTCAATCAATTCCAACACTTGCTGTTAAGTGTGCATGCGGCGACGGGTCAAGATGCATTGACTCGCGGGAAACGTAGTGTTAAGCCGTCACCTCATGCACACTTACCAGCTGCCGTGACGAATTACCGCATGCACACTTACTGGCTGCATTCAATTACGCATGTGCAATGCAGATTATTGATTAAATCAAATTTTAAACAATTTATATAGTTTGCCTCAACTCAGACTTCGCGTAAGTCATATTAAACGTTATGATCCCAACTGATATGACTTATGTGAGTTTTAACATATTGATATACATATACACACATACGTATATATACATCGACAACCTGTCTTTTAAACATCCCTATTGTTTGTACCTACGCTTTCTGGGGTAGAGAATTCCACATCTTCACAACTCTTTGAATGAAGAAATGCACTCCAATGGTACATTGGGCTACTGGTAAGTTTTATCACCAGCTTGTATCCAATATTTATAATCCTTTTTGAATCCAGACTGCAAATATCACATTTGTGATCTCCAGTTTTAAATAACTGATTTGCAATAGAAATAAAGCCAGTGCAATAAGTTTTAGGTATCAGCATAAGATTTAATAAGATGTTAAAATGTTCCTCTTAATCATTTAATAGATCCTAACTGCCTTATAAAAGTAGTTTGTCCACATTTTTAAAAAATATTTGAAAAAACTATTATTTTTGTGTACTGTTTAAGATTAACTGCGTGGTCACTTTACAATATCTGACTTTTAAAATGATGTCCATATCCTTACTACCTTATTGCATATTTAAGCCAAAATATTAAATAAGGCAATTTTCCCATTGAAAGGTAACATTCTGAACAGGGAATTAATGTTCAGCACCTTGGGACATCCTCCTGACCTGAAAGACACTATACAAATGCAATTTGTTGTTGTTGTTGAGTTAGAACTGAGATCGGGGTCTTAAGTGTTGATTTTAAGGCCATTCCCTTTGGTAATGCTAGCCCTCACTCTATAAAGTGGTGGAATGGCTGAGTCATGCCACATCAACACCACGTCTCTCCTACTTGGGGTCCCCAATCGGTTCTGCAGATTCTTCTTATAGGAATAATAACATATTATCCCTACAATAACTAAAATAGCAAGCGGGTGCATAGATTCCAAGCAAGGTTTGTTTACAAAATTCTCTGTCCCTCAGTTAGCAAGCCATGAGTTGGAGACTGATTTGAATCAAACACATTAAACACATTTTTCATGGGCTTGCCACCTCTAGGAGACAAAATCTGTGAGGTATCCGCAAGTCATCGAATACAAATAACTTCAGCATTGAAAGGTTATTGACGCTGAGTCAAGACAACAGACTTTAGTGTTATTCAATAGTCGTCAGTAAATACACGGACTTGCGGAAAAACAATATTCCCACCTATCAAGGTTTGCAACGTTACTGATCATAGAATCACACAGCACAGAAGAACGCCATTCAGCCCATCGTGCCTGTGCTGGCTCTTTGAAAGAGCTACCCAACTCGTACCACTCCCTTGCTCTTACCCCATAGCCCTGCAAATTTTTCCTTTTCAAATACATATCCAATTCCATTTTGTAAGCTATGATCAAATCTGCTTCCACCACCATTTTCAGGCAGCGCATTCCAGATCGTAACAACTCACTGGGTAAAAAAAAAATGACCAAAGAATCACACCCTTTATCTCACCAGATTTCCAACAGTTCGGTAGCTAATTCTTGTGTGATTCTGGGAAGTAAATGAAGTGTCTATGAATTGCAAAAAGACAAACAAACTGGCGCATAAACTTACACTCTTTTGACATGCCCACTTCAAAGCACTTCTGCAACCGGCAATACTGGCAGCGATTCCTAGTAACCTTGTTGATGACACAGTTCTTTTCTCTGTGACATGTGTAAACCATGTTTTTCTGAATACTCCTCCGGAAAAAACCCTGAGAAATGTAAACAAAAAGAAAAAGGAGGTAAGGACATTTTTTTCCAGGACACCTTTTTTAAAAAAACAGAACGGCATTTAATGTGTTTTATAACTGGGCAGAAAACATGCTCTCGGAGAGCAATGATCTAATTGAAAAACAATCCACCTCCGCCATTCATTTTATTGGATGTATTACAGTATAGTCATATCTTATGGGAACAAAGAGGAGGTGAATGGTCTTTAGAGACGGCTTTTCCAATACCAAATTCCTCTTTTATTTGACACTGTGGTGAGTGATATAGAGCAGAGAATGCTATAACGGTTCCAGAGCCACATGATATTTATACACAGGGTCTAAATTACAGTAATTTCTAATGAGATCACTCAACAATGACTCAAACCGGATGCAAGTCACACGGACGTGCAGAAACTCGGCTCCTGTACAATCTAACTCCAGAGGGGAACTCCAGCTGTAGGCCTGATGCACTTCCGATTACCAGATAGAGTCCCTATTTGTCATTTGGAGTAGAAGAGGAGGATTCTCCTGCAACCCACTCCCTCTGCTCCTCAAGCCTGGACCTGGTTTACAATTCCTCCATTGATTACCAGGCTTTCAGCTACTATGCATCCACTCTGTAGAACTCCCTTCCACAAATCTTTCCTCACAGGTTTCAAAACCTTTATAAATCCTACCTCTTAAAATGATCAACCCTTCTACCCCGCCCCTTCCCACCTGGCTTGAGCTTCCACAACTTCGCTGCGAAGTGTTCAGACATTATCCTACATGAGAAGTAAGTTGTTGTTATTAAGGAATGAACGCCTCATCAGCAGCTCAAATATATTTAAGTTTCAATTTTTGATATTGCTACAATGTTAGGATGGTTACTTTCTGTAACTTCATTGACTCTCAGTCTGAAAACCAAAAGGTAATTCTCTAAAGGAGAACGAGAGAAGCTGTGCGGAGCTCAGTCATACAGGTCAGCTCAGAATGATCGGATCAATATTTAGGATCAAGTGTCATTGAGCTAAACTGCAGCCCATGTGCAATCGCACTGCAATTCCTAATTATCACCATTGACAGCAAATGTCATTTATATCATTTGTGGAACATTCTTGTGCACAAACTGGCTGCCCCGTTTGTCTACAAATACACAATCACTATACCTTGCAGTAACTCCCCGAAGCACTTTGATGACGTGATAAGGCGCTATTTGATAAGGTTTCACCATTGCAATATGAAATGCAAGGATTATTATTTTATTATTAAATGGAAACAGCACATTCATTATAACTCAGGTTGAAGAGCAAAAATATACAATTAATTTTATTGAAGAAGTGCTCCTAAAAGCAGAAAAACTTCACAAAGACATTAGGATTATACTGAAGACTTGGAATAATTTGGAAACTAGTTCTTTTTAAAACCTGTGGAAAAACGGCTTCCAAATGAAGAGAGAATGCATGGATTTTCCAAAATCCTGCACAATCGTTTATTTTGAGATAAGGTTCTTAAGGCTAGGAATCCACTGAATCTTTGAGCAGCACTGCACAGAGGAATACACATACCCGCTGTTTCCTATAGCAGGCAGACCTGTCCGCAGGTCAGCAGCGGTGCTCTGAATTTCAGAGGAAACCAGAGTGCTCACCATGTCTGCCATAAAGAACCCAGCCAAGCACGTTGACTCCAATTACTGGTGGCTGTCTTCCGGCCAGAAATCTTGACTTGCCAAGGAGTACATACGGGGAGAGAAGGGGGGATGCTGGTTTCAATATGTGTCATAGGATCTGCACTGGATCCTGAAGAACTCCATTGGCTCCCGTTTTTATATTGGAAGCATTGCCAAGCCACCTGTTTGGTGGGTCTCCAGAAGCCTGTGCAACCAGACTGAGGGGTGAGGCTTGGCTTCACTTAAAAATATAACAGGAGCATTGTCCCCTTTTTTAAAAACAAAGTCAGATCAAAGCACTCAGTACAAACAGGAGATCACAAGAGAGGTTTAGATGAAGAAGACTGTACACGCCATTTGATCTCATCTATCCAGAATACAATCCCTTAGATAAGACAAGAGTCCACTAGCTAACAGTGGCTGATTGACAACTCTTGATCATATGTCCATCCCCACTCCCTTCACCAATTAGACTGCTTGCTTGAAAAAATTAGTCTACCAATAACAAACCTCACCTCTGTTCTCAACTCCAACTACCTTCATTGATGTTAAAAGTACGCAACTTGTTTTTAATTCTTAATCGCGTTTGAAATCTTATCTTCGGTGAAGAAAGTAGAAAGGGATATGTGAAACCTTGAGCACAAAAGGCATAAGAGAAGCAATTTACTGGCTGCATTATTTAAATACAGGGCAGCACGCTCTGTGTATCTTTTGTAATCTATCTCTGCAAAAGAATGCTACTCACTTTTGTATCAGGATCATTGAATGTTACAGCACACAAACCGGCCATTTGGCCCAGCAAGTCTGTGCTAGAGTTTTGCTCCACACAAGCCACTTTGATCTAATCCTATCCTCCTGCTCTCACCCTGCACTCTTTAGTGCAGTCTTTGTGCACTCTTTAGTGTGGAGTCCTGTAGCTCAGTGGTTAGAGCACTTGCTTTGCAAGTGAGAGACCTGAGTTCAATTCCAGTCAGAGGGCGAAACCTTGGGCAAGTTTCCTTACTCCACACAGAGCCTAATAATAATCCCTCCAAAACAAAAACAATAATAAATTGGTCATTTTCAATTTACAACTGTTTGTGGGACATTGCTGTGCGCAATTGGCTGCCGCGTTCGCCCACAAATATACAGTCAATTCACTTTACAGTCTATTCTGTGAAGCGCTTTGGGACGTCCTCCCGACGTGAAAAGCGCTATATCAAATGCAAGGATTATTATTATTATTATTATTATTTAACTTGTCCCTTTTGCAAGAACCTTTCCAATTCCCTTTTAGAATAATCCATGGACTGTGCTTACAAGTCTCTGCGCCCCACCCCACCCAGGGCTCACATCAGAGCCCACTATGGTCCTGTTGGGTTCGCTGCCCCAATCTACGGGATAATGCCATCCACCTGACCGCTCGCCCCCGGTCCCCGCGTGCGCACTATGGCTGCCGCTTTGACCCGAGCCCCCTCACCCCCTCCCTCCCGCCCCCCTCCTCTCTCCCCCAAACCCTCCCCCCTCTGCATCTCTCCCGCTCTCTCCTCCTCTCTCTCCGTCCCTCTCGTCTTCTATCCCCACTTGACCCTCCCACAACCTCCCTCTGTTCCAGCCTGGGAATCCTCCGCCGGGCTCACCGTGGCACTCGGCGTTGGCTGTCCAGCAGCAGCCACACCGACTGCCCCATTCCCCACCACACTCGCCACCCACCCCGGACACAGACCCGGGGAGTCAACCTCTCCTCCCTCATCCCCATTCCCCCCACCCCTGCCTCACAACCTGGACCCCCTCCCCTCCCACACACCCTTCTGTCAACCGCTCCCTCCACATCGGACTGCAAAATGTCCGCTCCCTCTGCAACAAGGCCCTGGTCATCAACGATCTCATCCTTGATGAGAACGTTGATATCATGGCCTTAACAGAAACCTGGCTCACCCCAGGCGACACCTTCCCCCTCACGGAGGCCACGCCACCCGGCTACACCTCCCACCACATCCCCCGCCCCAACCGCCGTGGCGGTGGTGTTGCCCTTATCTCAAGGACACCACTTGCCCTATCCCCCTACTCCACTGGCTCTTTCCCCTCCTTTGAGCACCTCACCCTCTCCCACCCCTCATTCCTCTCCCTTAAAATCCTCCTCCTCTACCGGCCCCCTAAAACCTCTCCCACCTTCATCTCTGACATTTCAACACTCCTCACATCTCTTTGCCTCTGCTCTGATCGCCTCATCATCCTGGGCGACTTTAACCTACACTTCACCCCCTCCTGCTCCATCTCCACAGACTTCTCTTCCCTGCTCTCCTCACTCAACCTCTCCTTACACATAAACTCCCCCACTCACAGTCACGGCCACCCACTCGATTTGGTGATCACCCGGGGCCTCAGTGTCTCGGATGTCACTATTACCGACAAGGCCATCTCTGACCACTACTTCATCTCCTTCACCACCTCCACCCCCCTCCCCACCTCCACCAGACCCACCACCATCTTCTACCGCCCTTGGAAGAAGTTACCCCCACAATCCCTAACCGATGCCTTGGAGTCCTCTGAACTCCTCTCCCTCTGGCCTTCAACCCTCACCGACCCCTCTTCTCCTCTCTCCCTCCTCCACAATACCCTCTCCTCCACACTCGATACTCTTGCCCCCATCACTTCCCGCACTGTCTCCTACTCCCGCTCCTCCCCCTGGTACACCACCCACCTCCGCTCACTGAAAAGCCAGGTGCGGGCTGCTGAACGCACCTGTGTCAAATCTGGCCTAACGGTCCACCGACAAATCTGGCTGGACCTCCTCAAAATTTACCGCTCCACTCTAGCCTCGGCCAAGTCGTCCTTCTACTCCAGGATAATCCTGGAGGCGAAGAACAACCCCAGGCTACTGTTTTCCACCACAACCCGACTCCTCCGTCCCCCCCGCCACCCCGCGCAGGTCATCTCCTCCAACCTTCACTGCGAGGAGATGCTGGATTTCCTTGAATCCAAGATCAAGGGAATCCGCTCCGCGGTCACTTCCCCTCCAACTTCCACCAACCCCCCACCCCCTCCCTCCCACACTCCGACTCCTACCCATCCTCCCCTACACACTTTCGTACCCGTTTCCCCACCCTCTGTCACTGAACTCATCCTATCCCTAAAACCAACCACCTGCTCCCTTGACCCCATCCCCACTCCACTCCTTATCTCCCAGCTCCACTTTCTTGCCCCACATATCACTGACATCATCAACCTGTCCCTCTCCTCTGGCTCTGTCCCCATTCCATTAAAAACTGCCACCATCACGCCCACCCTGAAAAAACCCTCCCTTGATGCGTCGCAGCTATCAAGCTACCGGCCCATCTCCAACCTCCCCTTTCTCTCCAAGGTCTTGGAA